TAGGAAACAAACTTCTGTATGTTTTTTCAATGACTCAAATTCCAGCCTCACCTCAATTCATTCCCCTAGGCCTTCCTGCAGAATGTGAGCACATAGGCTTGTACACACATGCACACTCATGCGTGCACCACACAATAATAGGTCATAGACAGATGTTTTAAAAAACTTTTATATAGCATCCTGTGAATTTGATATTATCAGTATATTTACTTTAGGGAAAAGAAAGTATAAAATTCAGGAAGTCTAGATAATTTGCCAAAGGGCACCCATGCCATGTCATGCCCACAGAGGTCAGAAGAGGACATTGGATCCCCTGGAAACTGGAGTTACAGATGGTTGTTAGATACCATGTGGGTGCTGGGAATCAAACCCAGGTCCTCTTCAAGAACAGTCAGTGCTCTTAACCACTGAGCCATCTCTCTAGCCCAAGCTCCAGCCCAAACACATTATGGATGTTTCAAACATAACATCGCCTAAGTTAAAGTAATCCTCAAACTTATGGTTATCTCCATTCAAATTAACGCAATTATCCTGTACGCAAGCCAGTACTGTATCATCTTTGAGGTTCCATCATTTTCTATATCCTGTCAGCTAATGGTTTTTATTAATTCCACGCTGAATGTTTCAAAATTTCCTTATCTTTTCTCCCTTCTATTACTCCCAACTTAGTTCAGGCTCTGATATCCATTATCTAAATCATTATATACACATATTAAGGAAATATATAGATTATATACCAGCTAAAGGACACTACACTTTCTCTATGGATAATGTACATAGCATAACATACTTCTAGTCTTTTTCATAAGAACCAAACCTCTGATTCCATCGATTAGCTTGCACTTTAAAATCCTTGCGTATTTCTCTGCTTCTTGTTAAACACGGCCTTGCACAATGATGAGTATGCCATCTCATTTACCTTTGTATCCTTAGCAACAATCATATCTGTACTTTGTGATTATCAGATATGTTTGCTGAATAGATTCTAGATACTTTGAAAGACTCTGGGAGATAACAAATTTATATGTATTTAATAATAAGTTATTTTGTTGGCTTGTAGGTCATTTGTACATTTTGACCCCGTGTAAGTCACCTCCACAGTATTTCTCTCCTCTGTGCCACAGTTTGCTAAACTGAATTAAATCACTTGAGGAATTTCATTTAATTATGCACTTCTCCCATTTTCCTCTTTTTCTTCCTATTTCATTAATGAGAGAAATTAAATAATATCCCTTTAAAAATCTTGTTATATGAAAACATTCACATTTAAAGGGATTCTAGAGCCACCAAATTGTCCTTCTGCACATCTGATCTTCAACATTAATATAATACAGCTTTAATCAAAGTCAATCCTAGAAAAATTCCTAAATACATATAATATTATGACATAAAAACCAACAACAAAAGAAAGACTAAGACTCAAAGACCTAGATTAAAGCACTTATCATCTCACATCCCAGATGGAGATCATTTCTTTCCTAGACAGCTTCACTTGGGATGGTCTTTGAATAAGAATTAATTTGGCAAATCAAAGTACCAGACTGTTGTCAGGAAGAAAAAAAAGACTACCACTTTAAGAATAGAAGCTCTTTCAGTGGTCTTTCTGGCCATTATCTACACTCATCCCTCCAGAGTTGCCCTATGCAATGCCCTCTTTCTCACTGTCCACTCCCAGTGTTTGACATACCCCACTTTATTCTGTGATAAATATTGTCTATCTTCTGCACATACATAGAGAGGAGAAAAACTGCTTTAAAAACATATCTAATAGGTCTAAAATGTAATTTGGTTAACCAAAAGCCAACCAAACAATTAACTAATGTTCATCATGTCCAGATAGGCATGTGTATGTGTCTTGCACACACACATGCACACACACACAAACACACACAAGTATCCTACTCTTCTTTAAATATGAACACTATCTGCCTTTTAGCCTTTGCAGATGGAAGCTCTAGGACTAAGCATAATGCTCTGGTGTACTAACCACATTCATGGGTATTTGGGCAACGATTATTTCAAATTCCCTTCAAATTCTTTTAAAAATTATTTGATTGGGTTTATATGCAGAAGAATAAAACAAAGCACTTTCAGACACTAAAATGAGACTGTGTCATTTCTCTGCAGTTCATGGAACTCATTCCTTAATCATTCATCATGAACTTCATTCAACAGAAATAAGTACCTGTTGCACCAAGAATGAGGAATAAGAGGTTGTCCCAGGAAGTGATTTATGCTATAACTAAAGCACCTGGTTTGTTTTCACTTATAATAAAATTCAACTATTAATACAAATGTATACATGTAATTTTAATGATTAGAACTAGATTGCCTTTTCAGGAAGAAATATCCTTGAGAAAACACATTACTATGGGTTTTTTTTTTTTTTGGCTTGGATTAACAGGTATCTTAAAAGAAATGTAAATGTCTCTCCATTGCTAATAATAAAAAAGAAAATGAGGAGTTTGGGGAGGATCTGGACCTAACAGGACAGAGAAGATGATAGACAGCATGTCTGAGTATTTTTACCAATAAGGAGTTTTCAGAACAGGGAAATCTGGTACTGCAGTGTGAAGTTAGGCCTTTAGCATGATACATGACCCTTAGCGAGTCTACTTTTACATACATGCCTTGTTGAGGTTATGCTGCTGGTCTTGGTTTTCATTTTGTTTTGTTTTGTTGGCTTTAGGTGGTGAAGAGTCAGGCTAGGAGCTGATGTCAATGGCTTGTTTGAAGGATTGGGAAACAGGAGTATCATATGAAGTGCAGCAACATGATCTGTGAACTAATTCAGTGCCCGCAATAATTGGACCAGAGGCAAACCATGAAACCATGAGCCTCCAAGGACACCTGCGCAAACCCTGAGGACCACTGGCCTTGCCTAAAATGGACTGAAGCCAACTTACTGATTTTCAAGTGGGGATTAAGACTCCATCTAGCCTCAATGCCTCAAATGCTTTCAAAGTTTTTATCAATTTAAAATCATTTGTTGGCATACCACATTTATACACTTGCATAAATCGATGTTTATATTAATGCCAGAGTTTTAATATGTGCCATCAATAGGTCTCTAAACACCAATAGCCCAGGTTTGAATTTTTAGCAAATAGGTAATATATTGAAGTGAAGGATGGATGTCCAGGTAAATATGAAAAAGACAGAAACGATAAGTAATCCTTGACCTATATTTGTTCACTTATATGTATATTTAGTTTTGCAAAAATAGTTTTATTTTCACTGCATCTTCAGATCCAATCATTTTACCTTCTAACTACTTTACACACAACTTGTCATCAGGAAGAGATGAGAGAAGAGCTTAAGGGACTCTCCCTGCCACTGAGGAATTTAAAATCTGCTTAAGGAGATAAGAATTGAAGGCATAAGAAGAACCATAGCTGTGTTATGTTTTATGGGGCATTTACACACATTATCCATTTGCACTGATGACAGTCCAGTGATATCAACAAGGAGGGTAGTAGCCACCACATCCACTCTAGAGACGACACCATCAAAACCATCCCATACAGAGAAGTGACCAAGGGATGACCACAGAGAAATTCCTGACAAGACATACTAAACCTACTTCACAGTATTCTGGTTTTTTTGCCTAGAATAAGAGCTATACAGAGGAACCGGTGTGCAGTAATGCAGTCAGCCAAACATAAGTATTACAGTATTTTACAATATTCTATTAAAAGAAGTGAGCAAGAAAGAACTACCACATTATGACTAATACGAAGATAATATATAATAACATCTATGAAATAGCTATACTTTATGTTCAAAAGTCCTATAAAAGTATTAAAATTTTTATTGAATTCTTGTGTATTTCATAAAGAAAATCATCTTCACACTTCCTTCCCTTTGGATTCCCTCCCACCCCCCTCCCCCACTGGAGTTGATTTTGTCATTTGTGTTAAGATCTATCGTGTGAAGTTAGTGTCCCCAGATATCCCTCAGTGTAAGTTCATGCATTGGGATCTAGTCAGCCAGTCTAGAAATTCTTCCTTTAAGAAGATCAGCTCTTCTTCACCCAGCAGTAATCAGCTACCAATAATTCTTTGACTAAGATTGGGGCCTGCTGTTCATTTCCACAGTTCTGTGCTGGGTTTTTGTCTGCTTAAGTTTGCATGGGTCTTGTGCAAGCTGACATCATTGCTGTAGGTTTGTATGAGAAGAGTTCAAGGAGCCTGTAGGACTATTTCTGTATGGTCATGCACCTTCTCCCTGACTCTTACAATCTTTACCATCCCCTCTTCTGAAGTGATCCCTAAGCCCTGGATGGGTGAATTTTAATATAGGAGTCCTGTCCGGGACCCACACTCTGCAGACTCTTATTCTCTGAGTTTTGGCTGCTTGTGACCTTTTGCATTTCTGGCTCTCCCTTATGAAGGAGTTTCATTGATGGAAATTGAGAGATGCATTAATGTCTGCTTTACTCCATGTTCTATTTTCAGTGAGCCTTAGGTATAGAGGCTAGATGTGCCACTTAGGCTTGGACAATTCCAGTCATGTCTGTGTGTGAACAGTTGAACTCTCTATAGTCTCTGTCTGTTGCAAGAGAAGCTTCTTTGATGAGTGACAACTGGGATACTTGTCTGTAAATATAAGGATTCATATTCTGCACATAGTAAGAAATTATATTTGTCTAGGGATGCGACAGCCTTGTGTTTTTCTCTAAGATCTATGACCTATCCAGCCACGTATATTTGGCTATGTTTATAGCACCACACATGAGTTTCTTCCCATTGAGTGGGCTTTAAGTTCAATTAGGTAGCCGTTGATCACCCCCAAGATAAAAGTGCCACTACTGCACCAAGGGTCATTTTACGTGCTGGTCATTGATATGGTTTTTAGGCCTTGAAGCTGGGATTGGACTATTGATTGATGGAGCTCAGGTTGTGTCTTACCATATCTTAAAACTGTACATGTTCTAGAAGCACAAAGTTTCACAAACATATGTGCTTTGAAACAAGAGTAATGTCCAGCACACCACCTACCTTGCAAATTTCAAGGAACTTCTCACTGGTGTGTTGCATAGGGTGCTCAGTAAAAGTAGCATATGGAACGACAGTGGACCATGGGTTCCAGCGAGACAGTAGGGACTGCTCCTCCGCACTCCCCCAGTAGATCCTAAGACCTTCTCCTGGTCTCCTACAGGAAGGAAATTGTTATTAGATTGGACATTTCTGTGAGATAAATCAAAAGAAAACTATGGTAAAGGAAAGCGGCACTCTACTTGGCCAATCTAATGCCACTGAGGTAAGTGCTTACTTCACATTGAACTGTTTGGGGAAATTTAGGAAGTAAAATGAAAAAGAATTTACTTTCAAACAAGATAAGTTCAACGGGGTGCTGAGAATTCCATACGGAAAGGGGAGACAGTGGCTAGAACTGGAAATATGAGTGTGGCTGACCTCATGCCAACATCTGATGGTCATAGTTAAGAGAGAAATCGAAGGCAGGATCATATGAGTAGGACAGGAGAAAAGACATTTAAGATGGGAGACAGATTCAAGGAAAAAGGAGATGACAGGATGAGACATGGTAAACAGAAGCATGAATGACCAAGAAAGGACATGCAACTTCCAAAATGGTAATCTATGATATTTGAGAGAGAGTTGCTTAGTCTCCTAATTCAGTGATCTCAACTTCTGTCTCTCATGGTCCTCTGTTCTCTGCACATATTCCATCTAGTGAAACTGCATCAAGGCACACACTAATGATTAAAGACACTAATAGTTTCTACCCCTAACCTCAGTACTGATTTCCAGTCTGATATAATCCAGGCCTGATCCTCAGGGAAATCCAACTACAACATGAGGGGAAGTCAAATTGGGAATTGGAGGAGGGAAGTCATGGTAGAAGAGTGTGACCACATTGATTGACAAAACTATCATTTCTGCAGCCTCCTCTTTTAGATTTGTCTAATAGAATTTAGGGTTTGTGGATTTCGACAGCTCTGAATACAGAGGTTCCTGGAGGTTAAGCCAAGCTCAGGTGCTTTGCATTCAACAAGCCTTAGAACTAAGTTGGCTGTAATTCTAAGCAGCCCCATAAAGCATCTCAGAGGTATCCTTTCTTCTAGAAATTAAGTCCTGGGATTTTTAAAATATAAAACCAGAGCTTAATTGTGGTGCCTTCACAAAGCTGTCACTTCCTGTATTAAGGAAGAACTCCTTTGGGAATGTAGAGATGAGAATAAACACAGTTTCACACATGTGCAAACAGCCCCACCCTCATACTAGCTGATCCCTGGGCTGTTTCTTGCAAAAAAGAAAGAAAGAAAAAAGTCTGGCACAATTCACTGCCCAGTTCTCAGATACTTGATGATTATATTTTAAACTTGACACTCCATACTTTTGAGCTTAATCTTTTGCCCAAAAAGTATAATATAAATTAATTAATTAATTTAATAATAAATAAATAAAGTCAGGAGAAGAAAACTCTGGTCATGCCGCTAAAGTTCATTTTCCAAACCTCTACCTTCTCAGCTGCTCTATTCACATTGGCTATACCCTCATATTTTCCTCCACTCTATTTTTTTCTGGTCTGACAATAAACCCTAACTTAACAAAAACATGCTTGCTGGCTTATGGAGTATTCCGGGGTAAGTGCATTAAAACAACTTGAACAATAGAATTATTTACTGCTTCATATGTCAATTTGTTTACTGATAAAATTTTGTTGGCTCAAAAGCCATGAAAAGCCTGTCAAGATAGCTTGCCTAATAAGTTTGCATGTTATTTATTTATTTATTTATTTATTTATTTATTTATTTATTTATTTATTTTACCTTAAGGAAGCCTCAAATGAAAGTCAAGCATAAAGTGAAGATGCACTTTATTGCTAAACAGGTAATCAACACGACCTTTTTCGGAGCATTAGGCTCTTTTTTGAGCCTGGGAAGTGAAGCTGGAAAGAAATGCAGAGCTGGGGGCTGGAGAGATGGCTCGGCTGTTAAGAGCTCCTGCAGAGGACCTAGATTTGATTCCCACCACTCACATGGTGGCTAACAACTATCTGTAACTCCAGTTCTAAGGGAATCTAACAGCATAATTCCAGGAGAATTCTGACTTCTGCCAGCACTACACAACACGGGTGCACTCACATACATGCAGGTAATACACTCGTACACATAAAATAAAAAAATAATAAATAAAACTTAAAAAAAAAGAAAATATGAAACCAAGCAGCCTCCCAAAAGGCAGTATTTGAGGAGTGCTTATAAGGCCCTGTGGTGTCAGAGTGCTATGAAAGTCTGTGGTCACCTTCTTTTCTGTTAAATATCTCTGAGGCAATTATGGAGGTTGTATATTCCTTTATGAGAATCCTGTGAGTTAATAAAATGGAGTACAAAGTGCAATGAACATGATGTCCAACAGTTGTGTGTCAGTTATAATTTTGACTCTTGATCCAGAGTGATTATGGACAAGTAACCTTTCTCTTTCTGAATCTCCTGAATATTCGGAGGTAAATATGTTTGTACATACAAAAAGCCATATGATTTCCCCATCTGTCCTTTAGTCTTTGGTGGTTGTGACATTTAGTTGCCTCAGTAACAGGGAGTTGAATAAACAGATCATCCCTAGCACTCACCTAGCCAAGAGCATACATTGTTCACAAGAAGACTTTGGGTTATGACTTCTAGAAGAAAAAAATTACCCATCACTTCTGGGAAGGTTAGGAGTTACTACAGTATCTACAACAGCACAAGGAGACAGCCTAAAGTCTGAAAACTGAAGAATATCAGAGCCAAAAGAGTTTTTGAAATCTATGCCTCAGTGCCTTCTCTCTATAGATGGGGAAACTGAAATCAAAGTACCACGACTTTCTTTTCCAAAGTCTCACTACAAGGCACAGATGAGCAGGAGAGTACCCCAGTCCTCCACACACCTCAGTCAGAGGTATCATCTCCATTCTGGGCTATGCCTACAAAATGCAGTTAAGGATAAAGTCCTGTTTTACACAGAGAAGCCTTATTTCCGATGGAAAATTAGTAAAATAAATTGTCCCAAGGAGCCTGGAATCATTGTAAGTGAAAGTCATTCTCAGAGATGCTACATAAACATCAGAAAGAAAATCTCTGCCTCAAATAAGCTATAGATTTTTATAGATGCTCAATAATAGCAATTATAAAATTATAGGGAAATAAGGTACTGGCAGTTATAGGGAGAATTTAAGTAAGCTTAGTCACAAGTGTTAAGAGGAATAGTTTGCTACCACTGAGATATTGTGCTGGGCTTAGTTAAAGTGAGATACAGTCCCAAATCAAGAATGCCAACACTAAATTATTAAGCAGTAAAAGAATTCTTTTCTTCCTGAAATCTTAATTCTGAGCATAAAGCATGGCTTTCAGTAGCTCTGTGTCTTTGGGCATTTTGTATCACCTTTGGGATCTTAGTTAACTTTTTTTATTATATATACTTTATTGAATTTTTGTGAATTTCATACAGCACCTTGATTTTTTGAGTAACAAGAAGATAATAGGTGGGCTAGAGGGACGAGTTGGCTGCTAAGAGCAATTGCTGTACTTTCAGAGGACCAGAGTTTGGATCCCAACACCCACATCAGTGTGCTGACAACTACCTATAACTCCAGTTCCAGAGGATCTGATGCCCTCTTCTGGCCTCTTCAGGCACCTACCCATATGTTCACATGTGCACACACACATGTACACATACATAAGTAATTAAACTGCTATTTAAAACAAAGAAAAAAGAAAAAGATGATGGATAAAAAACGTTTCTCCTGCTTTAAGGCACTGCCCAACTAACAAATATTGAAACATAGCATTAGTAGAGTATGTATTTTTATTTAACCTAGACAATAATGTACTTTTGGCTAATTTGGTAGACATAAATGTAACTACAGGAAAAAATGTGACCAGACCAGACTTAATCACATCATGAACTCAAGAACCCCTAATGAGATGGAATAAGAAGGGGAAGCAAATCTCCAACCCACAGGAAGTGTCTGGATGTTCTGTGCTCATTCACAGCTATTGATGCTCCTCTTCTTCCTGAATCTGAATCCCTGGATACTTCTTATGTGTTCTGTCTCACTTCCAAGGAACGTTTTGATGTATATAAGTCCCTAAACTTAAGTTCTTTCAACAAACCTCCATTTGGGTAGCTTAAGCCAGCCTTTCAATTCTATTCAGACTAAATGAGTGCAGCTCCTGAGTTAGCTCTTTTAATGGGTTAAAAAACAATCTTTTAAACCACCTCAGAGAGCCACTGCCTGAAGCATTCCCAAATTCTCTGTCATCAATGCTACCACTTACTTAGAATGTTCTCTGTTCATACAACAGTTGTAGATACATGAGGAGACTCAGCCTCCAGGCACCACAAAACCAAAATCAGACAATCTCTGAGCCAGTTTGGCTACCATCTCCATCTTCCCAGAGCTCAAACACATATAGATGTACACATATAGACACATAAACCTGTAAGTTTCCTTGCAGATGTGAAAGATTTTCATGCTAACTTATTTTATTCTACTTTATGTCTTCAAGGAAACCTCTGGAACTGGCTTGCATTTCCTCAGTCCTGGAGGTAAGAAGGGTTATAGGTCTTCACTCTTGGTAAACTTCAAAGCCTCCCAGAAGCAAGTATAAATCGGGCAGCTGCTCCATAGGGGCTTGGTGTAAAAGAAGGTTCGCAATAGTGATTTTTAGGACTACCTAGACTACCTGAGTCAGAAGACCCATTAGGGCAAGTTTTCACATCTTACACACACACACACACACACACACACACACACACACAGACACACACATGGATGACCAGAATTTTCAAAGGCCCCTGTTCTTCCTTGAGTCATTTTAATTACACGGTCTACTCATTGACTCAGAATTTTAAAACAGTTATTGGCAGGGTAGAAAGCCTAAGCAATTACCATTTTCAATCAGTACAGCAGACCAAGTTTACCTACTACACCGACAAAGCAAAGGCATGCTGAAGAAATGGCGTTTGTATCAAAGGAACTACTCATACAAGGGCCAGAGGACCTACCATCATGAAAAAGAAGTATGTTTCAACCACAAAAGCAGTTCCTACTTGAATTGAGTGAAAACATCCTGCAATAGCAAGCTTTGTAAGATTAGAAGTGACTTTCTTAAGGAAGGGCTTCTCTCTTTAAAATCAGTTTTA